CTGCTATTCTTTTCTAAGATAATTGATCTGATACGCTATATAGCAAACAGAGGGAAAAAAGTCAAGCGATATATAGTTAAACTCAGACTTAGTGTAGTGCGAAAGGAAATCTAGGCACCTACGTTGACAGGTAAATGCTGTGGCAAACATATGGCCAACTAGTAACTCCGCTATGTAGTCATCGATAGTAAAGGCTCTACCATTGTACCAGCAAGAGTAGCAATAAAGACATTTTCACCATCTTTGACTGTTGAGTCGTCGACTAAATTCATAACATGAGCAGTGGTCAAGCGAGATTGAGCTTTGAAAGAGTCAAGAGTAATGGATGGTGCATCAAACCGGGTGAGTTTGACTACGGCTTTTATGTGCAACCCCGGAAATACCATACAAAGGAACAAATAGATGCGTGAAGATCTTCTTGAAATCCTCGTGAAGTCCTGGGCCTTGGAGTCTGTCGGCCCACACAGTCCAATAACCCATCCAGCACTTTCTGCCATTCCATGTACCTCATCCCACCAAAGCTGTACTACGACCCATACCATGCCTAACGCTCTCCTTGTTTATTTACTTCCTGCGCCTAAGCAGCACAGTTGTGGAAGGATCCGAGTACAGAAACTCATCTGCGTTCAGATTTGCAGGTCTAGTCACACCCTCCGGATACTTCATGTCGTATCTAGTGATAAGACTAGCGAGCACAACCTTGAGCTCATTAGATGCGAAGAAGCGCCCAGGGCAAGCATATTTTCCATGGCCAAAATGCAAGTGATTCTTGTCCGTCGTTGCAAACTGATGTTTGTGCTCCTGTCCTAGGATCTGTCTCATGTTGTAGTAGCGAAATCCGTCAAAGGTATCAGCATTAAGGATGAGAGATGGATCTTTGGACGTTGCTTCCGAGGCAAGGCAGATGTGTGTGCCTTGCGGCAACTGTGTACCGTCGGAGAGAGTGATTGGGGTTTTTACGATTCGATGGAAGCTTACTGTAGGAGAAGTCAGTTTACAAAAGGAACAAAGACTGGAAGAAAAAGGGGTACAGGGAGGCGGACCTACATAGACTAGCTGGGCTTAGTCGCTGGGACTCTTTCAGGAAGCTGTCCATCTTGCGCATTCTGGTAAGAGTTGGCTTTCCCCAGCCTCCATCCTCTCTAAGCACTGTCTCAACCTCTTCTCTCAATGGATCAAAGTACTCGGGTCTAGCGCACATGTCGTAGATGGCATGCGCACCAGCCCTTGTTGTTGTATCCACTGACGCCAGGATGAGGATAAGCTGCCGTTGGGCCAACTTTTCCGGCCGTTGTTCGTCTCCAACGCCATTATCCATCATCCACTGCAGGAAGTCGTTTGGCTTGACGTAGTCTGGATCACACTGCGCTTGACGACGGCGGGAGATGATGGGAAGCAGCGCCTTTCTTGCCTGGCGCATATGAGCATGTAGTCTCCAGCTCGATGGCAGACACATTGCAACAGCGGGCCGCATCCATGGAGGGAAACAACGCATGACCATGACTGTAAAAGCCACTTCTCGAGCGTAACCCATAGAAGCATGAAACCACTCTTCGTTGCGGCCATCGTGCTCACCGAGGAATACACGGTTTGAGATTCTCGCAATGATGAAAGCGAGAACTTCGTAGATGCGGACTTGGATCCACTCGTCTGTTCCATGTTAGCCGATCCGTCATGGATGGGACATACCTCACAGGTACACACGGACCTTTACACTCCGGAATGAGCGTATCCATAGCCTGGTCTGCTTCTTCCTTCATCAATGCAGAATATGCGGCGAGATTAGGTGTCAGTTTGGTCTGAAGGAGATGCGTATGCAAATTTCCCTCGAGCATAATCTCCGAGGCAGTATAAGGCCCACATATGTTCTGTGTCAACTGTATCAGAATTCAGCAGCTATTAGCCTTTGGATTGATTCCCTACCGCGATCAGTGCCTCGACGGAGTTAAGCTTTTCGTGCGAAAGATTGCGCAGCTCGTCAACATATTTGTTGGGTATGACTACCAAATCTCGGTCATTGCGTGAGAGTCTGAAGATGGCATCCTTGAACTACGAGTGTGTTAGTAGGTTTGTGTTTTCGCCATCTGTTTGCTTTTCAAGACGTTACCTTGCGATAGCCCTCGTTGATCTGAGGTTGTGCACCCTTTGAGAAGCGTAGGCGTACAAGGAACGCAGGCTCAAAAATGGATCGATACCCAGCGTACGGCGCTCTAAGAACATGTTTGGATTGTGAAGCAGCTTTCAGCACAAATGACGTGCAGTATCCGATTAAGAGAATATAAATGCAAAAGGTCGTAGCACTCGAGCTGCTGAATTTGCCATTGAAATGTTGATGATTAACAGCCACAGAGGCACTTTCGTTCATGTGATCCATGGTTGTTTGCACCAAAGTTTGTGTTGTTACAATTTTCACTTTGATTTCATTCAATGTTGATATAAATGTAGAATTTCTAACAACAGCCGGCCGAATCTAACCTTCCATCTCGTATAACCGCCTGCTATCCCACTCAATGCTTAGAAATATCATGTGCTCAAATCTTATGAATGGAACTCTGGGGCGTTTGAGCATGAAGTGGCGCCGTCAGCCAGCAACAGGTAAGGGCCGAACAGGATGTGTCCACGACAGGGGTTTTGAAAGTCCTATGATAATGAGAGTACGGGTCCCAGTCTCGAAACGAGCAACCAGGTCGGGTGAATGGGGAGCTATTTGGTGGTGCATGGGATGAGGAAGGATCCGAACCTCCTGCCACTTTCGCAAGCCATCCCCCGTCCTCCCTTAACCCCGTTCCGCGGAACACCCTAAGGCCCCCGAGAAGACGTATGTCTCGGTTCACCCCCACTCGGTAAAACACCGCCGCCTATTCATCATTGACTATATGCGCCGATGCGCGAACCAGACTCATACGGCGCTTGAACTCGGCAGTATATGCTGCGTCAATAAACTCGACAATCTTATCTATCTTTTTTCCATCTTCACTCATGGTCAAAGTGAACATGTACTCATTCCTATATTCTCCCGCATCCGTATCCGCTCGATTGCTGCAATGCAACACGACTCTCCGTGTTTCAGCGTCAACAACAGTCTCGTCATCGCTGATGACTGAAAAATGAACGGCCCGAAATGCAGAGAGCATTGGCCCCATGAATGTTTGGTAGTCGGCGTTTGGGCGTGGAGGTACTTCCAGTGTAGCCGGCAGGGTATGGTGAACACAAATTGGGCTTCGGATGGCCATGATAGCCTGCAAGTCCCACTGATTGTAGGATTGGATAAAATCGAGCGCCGTGGCGATTAGCTGATCTCGGCTCGGAGCTGTGCGTGACATATTGGGAAATGATAGGCTGAAGTTGGATGGACAAGGAAAAAAAGGGAATTTTGTGTCAGATTTATTTGTGTTGGTCAGAGTATCGCGATTGGTGCAAAGGTGACATTCTCCACCAAAATTAGTCTTCTGGTGGCCTTAGTGATGCATATGCATGTGACATGATTTTTTTCTGTTTGTACCACACACGGGAAAGGTAAGCGACCTGTTACCGGCATAGCCTAATCTTCCGGTGAGCAGCATGTTACTGTAGCAGAGAGACAAACTGGCATACCTTGCATGAAGAGGAGCATGGTGCTCAAGAACTATGCTAAAACTAGTCAGAACATAGCATATAGTGGGTGGAGCAGGGCGTAAAGCGTAGGAACATTAGCCTCAAGGATTACAATTGAAGCTTCCTTGGCTCATGATACGGCCTAATGTCTAGTACAATAGAGCTCTTCTTGAGGGGGCAGCGCCCCCAGATTATAAAAGACAAATATAGCAAGGGAGAGGTCTGATTGAGTGTGAGCTGACCCAGAAGCAAAGGAACACGTGCCTCGATGAAATGTGTTGTACCAAGATGGAATACCCATGTCACTGTGTCCGAGGAGCCTCCTGGTAATCTTGTGCAGGATGGGTAGCGACTAATGCATGCAAGGACTGGGACAGCAAGGTAGCATTGCTTGTCAGGTCTACACAAGCTTGACCTTGCTTGGCTTGTCAGACGGGCCGTTACCGAACGCCTCCGCGGATGCTCCCACAAACGCCAGCTTTAGAGCTGTTAAATTTAAATCCGTTAACCCCGACGAGGCAGTGAATGGTCTCCACAAACTCCGGACACTAACCCCACTAGCGCGCAAGGCTGGGTTTGGAGCAACACAAGGGTTGCCCTTATGTCTTCTTTAGGCAAAGTCTCGAGCTAGGGCAATAAAGTCCTTTGTTACATGACTACATGACAGTCCGGAAATTTCAGATACTAATTGGGATACGCCACAAGTTTTGCGACCTTCTTTATGAGCTTGTGAGCTTTGGAGATTCTTAGAACACTACATCCCAGTCATGGCGGACCAAAGTACCAAAGATGGCACTGCTGTGTCAAACACTACAAACGATGCCAGCATGAACGGTACAGCTGTAGACGATGTCGAGAAGACGGTAACGCCGATTGTTGTCGATTGGGACTCGCCAGACGACCAGCAGAACCCCATGAACTGGCCGAAGAGCAAGAAGTGGTCTACTATCACTCTGGTGGCTTATATCACCTTTGTCACGTAAGTTGACCAGCAAAAGTTGTAGCAAAGCATTTACTGACTACGCTTTGACAGTTCATTTGGTTCCACCATCTTCGCGCCTGGTGTCCCGGAATTGCTGAGAGATTTCCACAACACTAGTGATGAACTCGCAACCTTCATCGTCTCGATCTACATTCTCGGCTTTTGCGTTGGGCCTTTGCTCCTTGCGCCACTCAGCGAAGTCTACGGTCGCTTCCCGGTCTACTACATTGCCAACATCCTTTTTCTCATCTTTTCCATTGCATGCGCAGTGAGCTCAGGCATGGGCATGTTCATCTTCTTCCGCCTGTGTCAAGGCATCACTGCTTGTCCGCCACTGGTTCTTGGTGGAGGGACTATTGGTGACTTGATGGCTCCGGTTGATCGAGGACGGGCCCTTACCATCTGGTCAATGGGACCCCTACTTGTAGGTCATTGAAAGATATCCAATCAACGACAGAGCTGACTGGTGATGCTAGGGACCCGTGGTTGGACCTGTGGTTGGTGGTTTCATGGCTCAGAACATTGGGTGGCGTTGGACCTTTTGGTTTACTGCAATTATGGTAGGAATGGAAACTAGACACAAGTAGGAAAACGGCTGACAATATTCAGACTGGTGTCGGCGTCATAGCATCACACTTCATCCTACGAGAAACCTATGCACCTACTCTGCTGGGCAAGAAAGCTGCGCGACTTCGAAAAGAAACCGGCGATCCCAACTACAAGTCGAAATTCGACAAAGGCCTTAGCCCAGCGCAATACTTCAAGTCGGCTATCATTCGTCCGACCAAGATGTTGTTCTGTTCACCCATTGTCGCCATCCTCGCCCTCAACATGTCCATCATCTACAGCTACCTCTACTTCCTCTTCACAACATTCACATTCGTCTTCCAAGGACAATACCACTTCAACGCCGGGGAGTCTGGCCTCGCATACCTAGGTCTAGGTGTAGGCTTTATCCTTGGACAATTCGGCGTCGGCAGTGCTGCAGACAAATACTACAAGCGCAAAGCAGCCGAAGGACCCACAAAACCGGAACACCGCCTCCCTCCCCTGATTGTCGGTGCGTTCCTGATCCCTGCAGGTCTGCTGTGGTACGGTTGGACGGCTGAGTATGAAGTGCACTGGATTGTGCCTATTATTGGGACTTCGTTCATCGGCTTCGGCATCATGTGCGCTTTCCTTCCAATCCAGATGTACCTCATTGATACATTTGGTGTCTATGCCGCAAGTGCCTTGGCCACGAACACTGTGGTTAGATCGTTGTTCGGAGCTTTCCTTCCGTTGGCTGGACGCCGTCTGTATGCTGCTCTTGGACTTGGCTGGGGTAACAGTACTTTGGCTTTCATTGCTCTTGCCATGACTCCAGTTCCGTTCTTGTTGCTCAAGTATGGAGAGAGCATCAGGACGCACCCAAAGTTTCAAGTGAATTTGTAGATCTGCTTGGCAGACTATCGACTTCCTGTGTCTCTTTTTCGTGTCGAAAAGACTCTGTGGGATTTGGATTTAGACAACATGAGTCTGCGCGATGGTGAACGCCAGATGGATATGTAATGGTACTCGGCCTCGAGAACCGATAAATGCTAGATTCTTCTTCTTGATAGTTCCTTGTAATCACAAGTATTTCTCTTCTACAAAGGCCTCTGTGAATCTGCAGCTAACGCTCCAGTAGAGTTTTGATCTATATCCACTCTAAAGGACACTAGCAGAATGACTCATGAAAGGCTCCTTCGAACCCAAACAAGAACTTGGGGCGTAAAGTACCCGAGCTTACACAGTAATTTTGATTAAATCTACTAGTAAGAATCTTCTATGGACCGGCTTGGCTTCAAGCTTAACTGAACCAATTATGATTGAAGAATCTGCCTAGCTATTTTAGGACTACAAAGTGGACCTATCTCCATAGCTCGAACAGCCCCGCCCCCTGCTAGCGGACTCCACCAGATCGACGTCCGGGTAAGTACCTTACGCCCCACTTACTTTGACTTCTTGCTCTCAGAGGCTGGTATCAACATACCTCACTTTAGGCCTCCAACCTTTCTTTCAGTGAACTTGAGATTCAAAGCACCCATAGCCGCGGTAAACTGCGTCTTCATGTCCCTTTCAAACGCCGTACCGTTTTCGCCATCCGCAAGGCAGACGTCGAATCGATGAAGCAGTTTTGCGGCTGTTGTGCGCAGATTCATGAGCGCGAGCGGTTTCCCGATGCAATTGTATGGTCCTGCGGAAAATGGTGCGTAGGCGCTTTTTTCCTTGACGGAGGTGGAGGATTTGTACCAGCGTTCGGGAATAAATTTGTGTGCATTCTCGTAGATGGCTTCGCCTAAAGATACCATGGTTAGTTTTGATGATGCGAGAGTCCAGCGGGTTGGGTTGTGGGTTGAGTTTGAGGGTTGTGAAGGGAGGGAAATGTCAAGACTTACTCCTCCCAATAACGTATTGTGGGCACGAGACGGTAGTGTTGCCGGGTATGTATGTATCGCCAATCTCAAGACCTTCAGGCGGCGTCGTACGTTGCAAGCCTGTACCAACAGGGGGGTGCAGTCGCAGCGTCTCATCGATGACTGCATTCAGATGCTCAAGATATTGCAGTGGTTGGTGCAATATGTCGCCGTTGGGACTAACATGAGGTGTGATTTCTTGTCGGATTAATTCAATGTGTTCTGGGTTTCGGACAAGCTCGTAGAAAAGACTTGCCAACGTTGTTGCCGTAGTGTCACTACATCCAAGTCAACAAGGTCTTTGCGCAAACGTAGGGGCTAACGCACCTTCCGGCTACGACGATAAGCTGCGTATCGCCTTGTAATACTTTCAGCTCTGCACCAGATGGTTTAGTTCCGTTGTAGGGCTTGAGCAACGTGTATAGGATGTCCGAAGTGATTGTCTTCTTCTGAACTTCAGATTAGTACATATATAAAAATCGTATTTCTGTTAAGTTAGGCATACGTACTGTCATTCTCTCATCCAGCCTGTCACAGCAATAGCGGATAAAACTCCACCATCCATTTGTTGCAAATGGTATCGACACTAGTACCCGAAACATCCACGTCGGTAACATCAATCCCAATGGTGTCATTGCTTCCCCCACCAATTGCACTGCCCAGTGCAGCTGATCAGTCTTGAGCATATCGAATCCCTCGCCGAATGCCAGGTCTCCCATAACATCAAAAGTATAGAGATTGAACACCTCGGTCACATTTATAGAGCTGTCCTTGGAGACTGCAGCTTCGATTTTACCAACAAGTTGTTCCTGGAACACACGCATCCTTTGTTCGTAACCGCGCATTGACTTTTCTCCAAAAGCCTGGCTCCAGATTCGTCTTCGTCGGTCATGCAGGCTACGGTTTCGCGTTGTTTGCATGGAAACCATGGGAAGAGTGAGATCATACCAGTCTGCTTTGGTACACTGTGACTGTGGCCCGTAGATTGCTTGTACAGCTTTGGGATGTGTAATGGAAAGGTCAGATGAACCAACGCGAACGAAGGAGCCATATGCTTTGTGTAGAGAGAAGAGCTTTTCGTGTGCGTTGAGTTTGGTGATGTGCAAGGAAAGGTACAAGTTGGAGATTCGAGAGCCCACAGGGCCAGGAAAGTGATGGAGAGGACTGAAAAATAGACGATAAGTAATAAGGCTGGTGTAGAGGCCAAGGAGATAAAGGGAAACATGTGTCAGAGCGTCTTTCAAGGCTTCACTAACGTTGAGAGAGTAGGTGAAGGTCGAAAACGAGACATATGTGACGAGAACGAGCAGCAGAAGCTGTAGATAACAAGTACCATACATGTGATGTTCAGAACCATGCAGATAAACGATGTGAGTAGCTACTCCTGCGAACAGGATCAAAAAATTGCGAAAAAGCGACATTCTGAGTTGAGGATTGCAAACTTCGGGGGAGCTGAAGGTTGTCGAGATATGCTGTCCACCTAGTGATGGCCTCCCATACAACGTCTGCTTCTAACTGTGGAGACATACGGAAGGAAAATTTCGGCACGTGTGATTGCATATCCAAGCATGTTGCATGTTGTAGGCGCACACTACTTGGGATGCTGGCAGCACATGGAGGGCGCCAACTTGCGGCAACCGCAAGCTTCCGCTCATAGAACCGATGTCGCATCCACGGTATCGCCGATATTCCCTTTCGGTAGAGTCTTTACTCCTCAGGACAGGGACTGTTGTTCCGTGTGTGCAGCCACGCATTCTAGTTGCATCTACGGCGTGTAGCCCAACAGTTTCACCTCATGCCAGTACTTTGTTTGCACGTATTTGTCGGTCCGTCTATCAGCAATACTCCGGAGGTGCAATGCAGTCGCGTTTTTGAAGAGCATACTAACGGCTGGTTGAGCTAGCATGGCTGTTGGGCCACAAAAGTGGACCCTGCATCTTACCGAGGTGTCAAGTGTCTCGGTTTGTATCTTTTCGATCATCCGCGGGATTTTGATGAGCTTAATCAATATAAGCCGCGCGGAGGCCAGGGTGGTGCCTAAGGTGATTAGTTCCCGCGGACACAACTACTACTACCGTGCGTAGCTAACGAATCCTTGGCGTTTCGTCGGATGGGAAAGCCACTACCAGACTTGACATAGTATCTCCAGATAATCTCGGCTACACTAGGTACATGGCTGCGTATCATTCGTATGTAGGATGTTCCAGAAGAGTGATAAGAGACAGCTAATGGCTGATCACTAAGCCATGGCATCCCTGTCTATCAGTTTCAAACAGTAGTTCCAACAGCCTCGTATGCGCCTCTAGACTAGATATCCTTGCCGTATTATGCGACTTGTCGTTTTCTTAATCACAAAAACCTTAACAGCCTGAATATAGCTATGCGTATCATTGTTAGGACCCCAATTTCTTGTTCTGGGTTAGGTCAAATATTTACTACCGAAGCTTACCCCCACACACATGCACGTTACACATGTGCTTCCAGAGTTCAGCATATCGCAAGACACCTACCAGACAGGGATTTCTGTTACGTTTAATTATGACCTTTGCTACATGAATGAAAACTAGCTACCCATGTGTGCGAGAGAAGGCAAAAGTGGCAAAGGTTACGGTACTCCTGTTTTACAGCTTCGGTCCGTATTCTTGTCGTGCGCGAGCTGTGAGGCTCTCAGAAAGGCAGGTACATGAAATCCTGTAGTCATGAGGCGTCGTAAGGGAGCAAACGCTGTGGGGAAATAATCTGCTATGAGAAAATATAGCCTTATTGCTGACACCTGCAGTCCTTCAGATAAGGGAACGCAAGCCCGGAATTTCTTACTCCTCAAGCATCTCATTCTCACCTCCATTATTGCAAACATGAATCAATCCAACCAATCCACTCTGTTCACTCAGTCAACTCATTCGGCCTTCTATGAGGGCAGGATTTCCAGCTCACTCTCTCTCATGGTTGGACTTGTCATCCTCTCTATCACTTCTGCATACCTCTACTTCGCCATCAGTGACTTCTTGCAGACTTTCTTGAAGCGTCCCACACACTTCTTGCCTTTCAAGTTCATCCAGCGTATCAACCCCACCAAAGTCGATGTCCCTCTCGTGGAAATAAAGGAAGAAGGCAACTTTCGTGAGCTACTGGCACGCGGATCTAAGCAGGTATTGAAGGTCTTATCCAAACCATAAAGATTCCTTAATAATGCATCATAGTATCCCGATAGGCCCTACAAGTTCCAGCACCACCCAGGCGAGATTGTAATCCTACCATTCAAGTACATGGATGCGATCAAGAACGCACCAGAGGGTAAATTGAGCTTTCAACAGGGTTCTTTCGATATGCTCATGGGCGAACATACGGGTATTACAGGACATGACTTGGAGATGGCAACATTGATCCGAAGGGATGTGGGACGCTTGTTGGATCGTGTGTATACGATTGTGGATGATGAAGCAATGGACGCCTTAAAGGACGAGATTGGCCCTTGTGAAGGTAATTTCTTAATTTCCTCAAAATCTTTTGAGCCTTCAGTAGAATGACATGACTAACCTGAAAACAGACTGGACGGAAGTAACGCTGCTCCCCAAGACTGTACGCATGATTGTCAAGGTTTCTCAACGTGTCTTCGTTGGTGAACCACTCTGCCGTGATGAGCGTTGGGTAAGTCCAAGCACTTCTGAATCTCATCCTCAACACTCACTAATATCCCCCAGCTTGAAACTATTCTGAACTGCACTGCTGCCTCCTTTGGAAGTGTCACCAAACTCTGGACATACAACTGGATGACTCGACCATTTGTTGCTTGGCGCGATCCTGGTCTTCGCTCAATCCGCAAATACAAAGAAGAAGCCCGCGAGTACGTAAAAATCCTATTTCACTGTTTTCAACAGTGCTGTTTTTACTAACCCTTTGCCACTAGACTTATCCGACCTGTTCTGGATCAGCGTCTCAAGGATTTGCAAGACCCCGACTTCAAGGCGCCCCCCGATCTGATCCAGCTTGTCATTGACGGGTTCAAAAATGGCAAAGGCCGAAATCTTGAGACTCAAGTTGCTACCCAAATTGGAACTGGTCGAGCCGCCCTCTTCACCACTGGGGTCACCGTCTTTCACCTTATCTACGATCTTGCGACTCATCCAGAATACATCCAGCCCTTGCGCGAAGAGGTCATCAACTTGGGCGATGTACCGATGAACAGGGTCAATGTGGCCAAGCTGGTCAAATTGGACAGTTTCATCCGAGAGTGTCAGCGGTGGAGCAAGTTCATGCTGAGTAAGTCTTTACCGCTTTTAGATCACTTGGCCCATCTAACAGTCAACTAACTAAACAATCTAGTTGGAACAATGAGGAAGGTCATACAGCCACTGACATTGCCTGACGGTACCGTGCTGCCGGTCGGCACGTTGCTGGCCGTTGATACGCAAAACGCGGTTTTCAATAACTCCACACTTGAAGATCCACATAAATTTGATGGGTTCAGGTTTGAAAAGTTGCGCACGCAAGAAGGCAATGCGATGAAGTACCAGGTACGTCTCTGATTTTATTCGATTACTGAGTTTTTTTTGCTGACAGCCATGTCTAGGCGGTTACCACTGGAGCTGACCATCTTGTTTTTGGTTATGGCTCACAGGCATGTCCGGGCCGCTTCTTCGCTATACACGAAGCGAAAGTGGCACTTGCACGGGTTCTTCTCAACTATGACTTCAAGTTGAAGGAGAAGCTTGCGGACAGCCCAATGGCAAGAGTAGTCGGAGTGTTGACGACTGCTGATCCCTCTGTGAAGTTCTTGTTCAAGAGCAGAGAATAGGTTATTACGTTTCTTCAATATCTGTTCTATCAGAAGACAGTCAAGATAGGAAATCCGGTACTATAGTTGTCGCTTAGCAGCCAAGCACATGCGTCGTTGACACTGAGATGCATTCTAAGAAATCGTTATCATACATTAAACAAGGGTTCACAATCACTCCATCACGCTAGTCCCGAAAGAATCCCACAATATCTGAGCGGCTAAGCTTTGTGCCAAGTGCAATGAGCTTATCTTGAACTTAACCAGAACAACTGTTGGAATAAGGGTCAATGTACCAACTCGACGCCACAAACCTCTTGCATACGTTGAATATACTGAAAAGGGCCAATGTTGCAGAATTAGGCGTCCATAGAAACTTACTAGCTGAGGAACGTAGCTTGACAGTGCAGATCCGAGGAGCCTGTTAGCTGCAGCTCTGACAGACCGGGGAATCTCTGTCTGACAAATTTACATAATCTTCTGATCCATCGTTTCTTTCCAGCTGACGCTGTACATGTTATCGTTCAGCCTAAATCGAATAAGTGCCTCGGGATCAACCCCACGAGAGTGTACTTGACTGCATCGGTCACATGCATGCGCTATTCATGTCCCCATCGTTCGGTGCAACCGAGTCTCACTATTCCCTGTCCCAAATACTATGTCTATATGGAACCAAGAAAACATGGTCCCCCAGGTTAAATACTATGATTCGAATTTTCTGCGGGATTTACGGGATGTGGTACCCCCACAGCTCTTGATGAGTTCGGCATATTGTCGGCAACCTTGTCATGTATCAATATGACCCTTGGACAACCAACATGCACTAATGTTGTAAATATTTGTGGATGCATCTTTTGAAATGTTGCATGTATTACTTAGATGTCGCTTATGTTAGACCCGATTTCTCCGTCAGTTGCCGTATACGTGTCTCTGTACCTAGCTCTAGTTGGGTATTCAACCGGGGAGCTTGGTATATTGCCATTGAGGAGATAGTGTACTCGAACCGTGTAAAGATAGTACCTGCCATATTGAGGAATTCGTCCCTAGCTCTGCAAATACCGGTCAGCAACGCATACTCTAACTTTTAACATGAATTTGAAACCATAGACCCACTGCAAGGTGATACTCTAGACGGCTAGGTTACAGAGAATCGCCTCACTTCTCGGTTGCGATTCTTGGACCAGTTCCGTAATATCGATTTTGTATCCGAGATCTTTCAGCTGATTCAAGCCATCAAGTCTGGGACATCCTATCATAGGTGTATCAGCAAAGTCAAGATTAACATATATAAGAAAGCTCAGTAACAGCTACTGGTTACAAACTTCATTCAATACACCCAAACTCCGCCTTCACAATGAATTCATTCTTCAACCTCGTTATCTATGTCCTCGAGCAACTTGTCAAAGCCAAGAAGGGTGGCAAAATAGACAACCTTCTTCTTCCTCTTGCTTTCAATCCAAAGTTACTCGTAGCCCCAAGGGATCATGTATACGCAGCTGCAGTTGGCTATGCTTACGATCCGGTGCCAAACATACCCCAGTACATTCGTCCTAAGTATGCCTCATTTCCTCAACATGCATCTATGCCAAATGCACACATCCAAAACAACACCATTCGGCTGCGACCGCAAGCAGCAGGGCTTCCATACCGATCGAGTTTTGATTATGTCCGGGCTGCCAAACACTGGAAGGCTAATCTGGAAGAGACCATCAAGGTCCTTGAGCTACTTGCTACCGACACTTCTACCGTTGATGTCGAAGTCGGAAACGGCATAACATTAGCCAAGCTCGCGAAAAAGGAGCTGCGTCCGGGCCTCGAAAACCGCATGGTGATTGCAACAAGCCACATGTTCCCAAGTGGAGACGAGCGGCGGATCCGGATTATAGCAACTTTGATGATCATGTACTTTGTTTTCGATGGTGAGTAGAGAATGCTTTTTCATATTCTCGGTCCATAAAGTTAACAAAACGCAGACAAAATAGAAGAAAGTGAAGGTTCAGCGGTAAGATTATCTATGGATAAAACCAAGTTTAGCGGAGATTGACAATTCACAGCTTTCGGATCTGAGAGACGATTTCTTCAGTCGATTTGATGGTCCCAGGGCTAGACGGTCAGAGAGAGCACCGAGTGCACTTCAGACTCATTTGGATGAAACAGTGGCTGGCATCTACGAAGAAGATGCTGCAGGGGGCAACGGAGGGCATGAGATGCTTGAAGCGCTGCGAGGTGCCTTCCGCTGCGTCCACCCAGAGGGCAACTTTCCCACAGTTGATAGCTATCTTGCATTTAGGAGATTGAACGTCGGGGCAAGGTAAGTAATTTCTTAGACCTTTCCAGTTTCATACACATTGAATACTGATTCTTTCTAGATTCGTGATTGCGGCGGCGAAGTTCACTATCAAGTCTAATGTTGACGTTTCAGACGCGCGCTTTGCCAGGTTCTTGAGTTTGATAGGAGATCACCTGGGCCTTGTCAATGACCTAGCATCGTACGAGAAAGAGGCGCGGGCACTGAGCACTGGAGAAACCAAGGATATGATCAACATAGTTGCTGTGATGCACAATTTGATGTCCCTCCCAAGCGCGAAAGCTGCTAAAGCGGCAGCTTTCTCTTACCTGTTGCAAGTGGAAACATGGATAATGGAGGAAATCGAGCAGCTAGCCGCGTGGGAGAAGCTAAAGGATGAAGAGTGGTGGTTTCTAGAGGCTGTGTTTCTTTCAGCGACTGGAAATACCTTTTTCTGTATGACTAGTTCGCGTTATGGTGGAGAAGCTGCAAAGATTAACTAGGAGGGATATCAGGCGTTTTGCAGGGTTGGTTGGTTCGGCTAAATAAATGTAGAATGTAAAGCGTACAGAGCCAGGATATGCTGCGGGACTTCTGCATGATCGTGTCCAAAAAGGTCCCATGCATTCCGAGGTTACATATAAAAGATACGGTCCCCCAACGGTAAAAGTCTATCAGCTCTCATCAATACAAATCGATACTTTTTCCCCCAAAATTTTTGTTCAATCAAACATACCTTCATGGCATTCTGTGCAATGGCAGCAACTAGCAAGTACATGCGTGCGATTGGTAGGGGACCCACACGCCATACTGCGAATCATTCTCGCCTGGACCCATTATTAGCTGAAGATGTGCTGATTATTTGCTCTAGATATACGTGGCGGCTCCGGTCCTGCCACTGCTCTCTTTATCGATAAAGAAGTACCAAGGCCCACACCAGGTCCTGATGAATGCCTTGTTCGAGTATATGCCTTTGGCCTCAACCGGGGCGACATCGTGCAGCGTCAAGGACTGTATCCAACACCGCCTACCGCACCCAAAACTCTTGGGCTAGAGTTCAGTGGCGTTGTTGTAAGTGTTGGCGAAGCGGCAGGAGAATGGTGGGGCGTGGATGCTGAGGTGTTTGGTCTTGTTTACGGAGGCGCATACGCGGAGTACGTCGTTGCGCATAAAAACTTGTTGATTGCGAAGCCCGCCAAATTGAGCTGGGCCATGGCGGGTGGTATATGTGAGTCCTGGTTCACAGCACTACAGGTCCTACACATGGTTGTTGGCAAAGAGCTTTCTTCAAAGCGGTCCATTCTCTGGAATGCTGGTGCATCGACAATCTCAATTTGCGGTATCCAAATATCACTTGCCATGGGTCTCAAAGTTTTCGCAACGACAAGACAAGACTCAAAGAAGGAATTTTGCATCAAAGAGTTGGGTTGCACGGGTGCGATCAATACGCGCAATATTCTGGAGCCAAAAGCATGGGTTGATGAAATCAGACGCATGAATGGGGGCGAGGGCATCGACGTCATAATCGATTTTATCGGCGGTTCTTGCTTTACCTCGCTACTCGACCTGGCTGCTCGTGATGGCAGAATCGTCAATCTCGGCCTGCTTGGTGGTGCAAAGACGGAGCCTATGGCAATTGATGTAAGCCCGTTTGTCATGAAAAGATTGCGCTATGAAGGAAGCACGTTGAGGAGTCGCGATGTCGAGTATCAAGCAAAAGTACGGGCACTGTTCGAGTCTATCGTGCTTCCGAAAATTTTGGACGGAAGTTTCAAACATCATGTTGAGGAACCGTTTAACTGGGAGGACACTGTAGCGGCTCACGAACTGATGGAAAGCAACAAGACAATGGGAAAGATTGTTTGTATCATCGACTGGTAATAGTTTATAAGATCAGTAGCTTACATAGCACAACCCAATGCAACTTAGTCACAAGATATGCATGGTCTCTAACGCTGCGATTATTCATCTACAATTACTTTTAGAATAGCTCCCTTCGAGTACCAGTTTACATCACGACTGTGAGCCTTGTAAAATATCTAGTACATAAGAATAAGTAACAAAGAAACAGGCGGGAGATCAACACTCTTTCTGTAAAAGACTAATACGGGGGCGCGCGATGTAAACATAGATCGAATGCTATGCATGAGATAGCTAACCCCCAGATTAAGATCTATGGAAATATGTTTACAGTCATGTGACACTTTCTCTGTCCACACATGAGGTGAAAGGCAGTCTAGTTACGCAGCTCGTGGTGGCTGTGCGATGGCTGCGTTGGTGCTGCGCACCATAGCTACCTCCAACACTGCAAAACGGCGTTGGACCTCTCAATCCGTTTACTAGGAATTTTGATATTCAATTTTAACTTATTCATTTTCCTCCCAAACAATGTCTACATAATTCATGAAATACATGCTATTTCTATTGTACAACTTGCCATATGCATTCCTTTGTTTAACCGATGTTCTTGTTTTGATGTTTCCCCTACAACCCCTCCAAGACATCCACAAGCAGTTGTACAAACCGCACCCCTATGTCATACCCTCGACCTGCACGCTCTCCAGTGACAGCACATGCAAGCCACAGACGCGGGCTTGCTAGCCATTTAATCAGCACGAGTAGCCGCTGTGGCGGGAGGATATCACAATCAGCCAAGAAAATACGCGCCATTAACTAACCTCAATTTTCTCCTTAGACACGCCAAGTCCTACACCCTTAACTACGTAGGGAGGACATGTCAAGTAAGACTCGCGTTTTTCTTCCAGCCCAAGTTGCCGACTCTCTCTGTTCATAAAGAATCTTTCTCAGCTCGAATTTAGCAGTATACCAAGCAGCTATTCCTGTTCTACCATAGACATTCATCCTGGACCCATCATTCCACTTTGTCATAGTGCTATACCATGCCTCTTTGCACCGAATGCGAAGCCCTCGTGTCACTCCTCCATGACCGCATGAACTCGAAACTCAAACCATACACACTCCACAAGAGCGTATCGCAGATCCTGAAATCCTCCCCTGAGTGCGATCTGTGCAATCTTGTAATCTCGGTAGAATTCAAGTGGCAGGATAATTTCGAGCCCCCGGTCGCCTCCCTTAGTTACTTCAACAATGAGAGAGCCATCCGTGCTTCGGAGGATTTAGGATTTATGACGAATACAGGTATGGAGAAGAAGGTGAAAGTTCAAATTTTAGTGGATGTATGTGAGAGGGTCAGCGAAGTGGTATTCGAATTCCAATGGCTGAGCCTGAAAGCCGAGATCCGACGTGGCAGAATCTGCCTCGCGGTTTGGAAAGACACACCCTGCGCCGACATCCCTCCAGAAACAGAATGCCCGCGCCACAAACCCAACTTCATCTCCGAACATATACTAGCGGACAAGCCTGTGGATAACCGGTTGGCACAGTTCCAAGCATGCGCATCGAGCGATGTTGCGTATCGAAAATACGGCGCCTTGGTCGACGACGAGTCAGAAGAGACACTGAATTATCTGAACGAGTGGCTGCGCGTTTGTGAATGCTCTCATGGAATCTGCATGCGTTCGCTTGCGGGAAAGAGGATTGATGGCCGGTTTTCAGAGTTCGATAGCTCATGTTTCCCGTGGGAAGACACCGATGCGCCGCTTCCACACCGTGTTCTCGCCATATACACTGATCATGCCAAATTGGTCGAAACAAAAGAGGGTCAGAAGGGGTGTTATGTTGCGTTGAGCCATTGCTGGGGGAACTCAGAGAACCAGCCACTCAAGACAACAAAGGAAAATTACGCTGAGCGTCTCGCGGGTATCCCACTAAAAGACTTACCGAAGACCTTCAGAGACGCTGTCAAGGTCACTAAACATATCCGCGTCAAGTATCTCTGGATCGATTCTCTTTGCATAATTCAAGATGACATTGAGGACTGGAAACAGGAAGCCGCGAATATGGGGGCTGTCTATGAGTACGCTCGCCTCACTATTGCGGCCACGGACGCTAGAGACAGTACGGAAGGCTGTTTTGTGACTGCACGACAAGACCTTGAAGACATACATGAGAGGATAAAGGCCCTCAGGGCGAAAATCATCACTGAAATGAGTGCCATAGTCGAAGAAGTAAATACAGACAAGCCGAGTTTCGTGCAAAGAACATCACCACCGAACTCATCTCGGATCACTGTTCAATCCATCGGCAGAAACAATGTACCGGTGACAATCCATTTCGCGGCAACGCCATGGCAGAACTACCACCCATATTACACTCGCCTGGGCTCACGCGCTTGGGCACGTCAAGAATGGTTTCTCTCTCGGCGCATGCTTTTCTTCACACACGGTGGCATATCATGGAAGTGCAGAGAATGTGAGTGGAACGAACGCGAGGTTTACTACGACATGCACGAGAAGCGGTCGTGGCCAGAGCTACTGCAACGGTATTCCGCCGACGATCTGACGTACGAGATGGACCGGTGTGTTGCATTGGAAGGTGTCGTCAGTCAGATGAAGACAACCATGAAGGGTTCCTACCATTTTGGAGTCTGGACGCATATGCCAGAGTTGCTACTGTGGGTGATGAGGGGGTCAGAGTACGATATCAAAGGTCCAGAGGCGCCATCTTGGAGCTTTGCAAGCAGGTGTGGACCGAAATTTTATTGGCAGACAATGGTGCAGTTTGGCTTTAGCCTGACCGCGGTAAATCATACAGAAGGCGGTATTCGGATCGATGAGACAGGAGTCTTGAATACCACCGTACCGATGGCATCGCTCGTAGCAACAGAAACGAGTCGAAACTGGATCGCCGCCCAGAACCATATTCCCTGGGAATGCTCTCTGGTTCCTGAATCCGTACTTCTGTACTTTGCGCATTCAACAAGCCGTCCTGTGCTCTTTCTCTTCGACCCTGGAAATCCTAACCGTGAGACTGCTATTGGCCTCGCGAGCTTAGACGATGCTGTAGTTCCTGACTGTGTGTCCACAACCAGTCGAGTGAAATGCATCCTCCTGTCTTCCTGCCAGCGACTCTGTGGTGCGTTCGACCGCACATCGGCACCTATCATGGAAGAACGAAGCCACATGGTCGTCCCTGATATTGACGGAAGTCTAATGTTGCCTTCGCGTCTTCCAAGCGCAATGCCGTCTTCTCAGTATTTAGAAAACCCAGTCTCGAAGTTTGAATTACCAGAGCAATTCGACGAGATGAAATTGACTGAGCTGATGAAGTATAACTTCATGTTTGACACGAGTAGGTTTGGAGAGGAAGCGAAGGTAAGCATGATATTCTTGGAGAGGGGTTGGAGAGAGAAAGGCAATGGAAATGCTAACTGACTTGTGGGCAGACTCCAAAATTGGATATCACGGGGGAAAGAGTATGTTGGATTATGCTTGTGAGCGAGGTGGAAGGAAAGCAGGGGTTTTGGAAGAGAATCGGAATGGGTATGTTGGGGGTGGCACCGGTAGACTTGGGTTTTGAGTACTTTGAGTTGAATTTGGTGTAATAGTTTGGTGGGTATAAACAATTGTCTGGCAAGGACCACTGTTGCTAGACACTCTCATGGATATTTTGCACTAGTGCTCGACAGTCATGTTCCTTGCCTGCTTCAAATCTTTTGCAAAAGGATGCCTTTTTATCCTGACGGCCGCAAATTTTTTAAGATTTGTTTGCACACTCGATTGTTTTATGAGGTATTGCGATTCCAGCGGTAGCACTTCGCCAGCTTGATTAAAGCACCTGTCCCTAATATGGAGATTGATATCGTTCATATTCATGTCCATGACGGCAATCGTAACGCATGATTTGAGCTAACACAAGCTTCAGAACACCCTGCCGAGGTCTCCACTATTGAGATCGCCCTTTTTCGCCGGATATTCCGCCCTCTACCGTGACCTGGACAATTGTACGTATCGATTACGTCTTCGGTCCTAATCCACACTGAACTAGGCTTCAAAACGCTCTGCAGTACTAAATACTGCGCAACCGCCCCGTTTGTTGAATCAGACAGCCTCATTCGCCGACGAGACTCTTGATCTTCCTTAACATCGAGGTTAAGCGCGGATATGCCACCCGCGACTACAGTCTAGTTTGTTGCGTAGATCGTTACCGAGTTTACAATACAAGGATATGAATCGTGAAGCCTCAGATGTCCTATGTTTACCATTAATATTGATGGCGATGATGAAATACTGCGTGTTGACGCTGCGAGCCCCTGACCAGTGCCCTGCGCTCGGCATGAAGAGGAATTTTGTTCAAGTTACACACAGCTGGGCTTCAAGTATGAACAGAAAATGTAAGCAACTACCCTTTATCAAGCAAGATGGCAGAAATATTGGAATAGAAGCCATCCATCAATGGAGCCGACTTGCAGCTGCGCACATGTTTAAATTTTCTATACACACTCAATACATTGGTATATCAGCGTAGAATGTTGCTGCCCAAGTTGCGCACATGTTATGGCATACAGTGCATCTAGTGTAGTAAATTCAGCAATATCATGATGCCATGATCTTTAATTATCGGCTTCCCTGTCACCTTGTCTCTAGTGCTTCAGGCTGAAATACTATAAGATCGCCACCAGAACTCTTTGCATATGGTAGCTTTTTTCCGTGGATAATCCAGCTTTTCCTCACAAGTTAACAGTGAGGTATTTAGTTAGCGAGGAAACACTACCTGAAGCATCGATTTGTAAAGCACTAGTGTATAGGGTGAAGGAATTCAGGGTTTCCTGCCGTCGCCTGTTCATTTCAGCTTGACGCAACACCAGGTGGAAAGAATATGCTCTGAATCAAGACTTTCTTGAGTGCGACACTGCAGCTCAGCTCACAATTAGCCGCTCAGGCTAGACGCAGTGGCTGTCCAGCTGAGACCCATTCAAGTCACATCCGGGTAGGTCTGGACAGAATATAACCAAAGTGATTGGCTCCTAATCACACGTTGATGCTATTGGTTCAACTTACGCAACGCTGTGGTTATGTCGATGAATTTGTCCAGGGTGCCTGGCTAGTATAGTAATGCAAAATGCAGGAAGTACGATTTTAATATGCTAAACCTGGAATTGCTTTTCTTTTCGCTCGCTAACGGTGCTCTGGTGAAGAATTCAAAGCTTGGGAGCGTTTCTGAGTTTAGATGAGCTAAAGGTGTCTTGCGCTGTAGCGACAGCCTGAGGTACTGACAGCGTCGTGAAAATTTGCATCGTACAGGAAGGTTTGAGCAAATGAGTGGAGACGTCAGCTTGTCTCAAGGATGCTGCCTTTTTTAGAGAAGTAATTGAAGTGGGGCTTCGCGACAAATAGCTTTTCGCGACGGAGGTGCGGAGATTACCCCTCAGTTGTCGCAACACAAGCGTTCGGCGGCCGTTGCAGTACCAAAAACATACCGAATATATCCCCATTACATCTTCATCCCTTCATCAAAGCAACAGAACTCCTTCTTCAGTAGTATAGTGGTCAGTATTTCCGCTTGTCAATCAATTGACAGCTCGCGGGAGACCGGGGTTCAATTCCCCGCTGGAGAGTTTGTTACTTTTTTGCATTTCTTGCATTTTTTGGATGGATGTGCAAATGTTAAAAAGCAGTTCAATTCCCCGCTGGAGAGCTTTTTTTTTGCAACTTAGGATAGATTTCCACGTATTATAAAGTAGTTCAATTCCTTATTAGAGCTTTTTTCTTTTTTATAACTTTAGACAGATTTCTAAATATTCAAAAGTAATTTAACTCCCCGCTGGAGAGCTTATCTTTTTGTTTTGGTTTGAACATTTTTTTGTTGCGTGGTGGTTCTGAATAACGTTCTTACAACAACATAGCCAGTCTTTACAAACTAGCCTAAATTGCTAGAAGGTCAGTGCTGATATTTGCGACAGTGGTGGGAAGCTTGGATAATGCTGTAGATTATCTTGGTGAGGAAGTAAACTCTTTGAAGAGCAGCTATAGTGATACTTTCAATAGAAGTAGTAATGCTGTGCTTTTTTATCTAGAATAAAGGGACAATAGCAGCCAGAAGATGGACGCGACTGCAGGATTTGGGAGCTGTGGCACTGCAATCTCAGTGGGACGCGGCTGCGAGGCTATGACCAATTATTGCGCATGCCTTGGCGCTGTCATCTCAGAGCTTTGTGCTTGTTCAGCCTGTTCTAATGTACAAAGATAACTCCAGCGCTTCCTAGGAAGACACATCTACCTGATCGCAATAGTGGGCGGTGTTGTTCTGTGATGGCTAGCGGTGCTCTACCCCATTCTCTTTACATCCATGGCACGTCTAGTACTACGAACGGCAGCCAGAGCTTTGCTAGTCTCAACCTCGGCACCATAAACCATGCTCCCATCAACAACAACAACAACAACAACAACAACAACAACAATAACAACGACGACGACGACAATATCTCTTGCAAGTATGTTTTATACTAAGATTCTGTGAGCATGCAAATTAATTAGTAGCCTAGCACTGAACGAGATTCTCCACGCTCTTCCGATCGCCAAAGATGCACCTTTTAACGCATACCAGCGGCAACGCGACCCAACCTGCTTGCCCAACACCCGCACAGACCTCCTCCGCGAGATAGACAACTTGGTAGACAGTGAAGAATCACCAGGCATCTTCTGGTTGAGCGGTCTAGCCGGCACTGACAAATCTACTATAGCGCAAACATTGGCTTTGCGATACCACGTGAAGAGTCGGCTTGCTGCGAGCTTTTTCTTCTCACGGGCAGACGAAGACGTAAGCCACGCAGGAAAGTTCATTACAAGTATTGCATTCTGGATCGCCAATAGTATACCAGGCTTAAAGCGTAAGGTCTGTGATGCGATAGGAAAACACAACAATATTGCGAGCCTATCTCTTGTCGATCAGTGGCAGGAGCTGGTACTTGTTCTACTGTCAAGCTGTGAGGACCAGGATTGCCGATCAAGCTATGTTATTGTTGTTGATGCACTTGATGAGTGCGACAGCCAAGACAACATTCAAATCATTCCGCGCTGTCTAGCTGCTGTACGTTCATTACAGAGTACTCCAGTACGCGCGCTTCTGACGAGCAGGCCTGAGGTTCCTATCCAGCACGGATTTAGCCAAGTGCGAAGAGACGAGCATCAGGACTTTGTGCTTCATGACATCGACCCAGCAATTATCGAGCACGACATCTCAGTATTCTCGAAACACAAACTTGAATCTACTGGAAATAATTATAGGCTCGGAGATGGGTGGCCAGCGGAAAGAGACATCAAAGGACTGTCTTTTGTACGTGAATTTCGCGATGCTTAGAAAAAGTGTCTGGCTCGGTGGGGGAATACGTTAAATATATAATTGTAGCACTACATATTTTACCTAAACATCTCGTAATAATATCGTTTTAGTAGTAGTTACAAGCTTTATTTTCTAATGGGTGCGCGTTTCGGTGGGGTGTTGCATTGGCTGACCTGTTGCTTGCACTGACCACATCCTGTAGGCCTTTTGGACCAAGATTTACGTTGAGCTGCACAGGGCGACGAGCGGAGCGAGGAGTGCGTGCGCACCTAGGGTGCCCTTATTGCAGTAGGACGAGTAGAGATTAGAAGTCCTTGGAGACTTCCAGATTGGCACCATTTTTCGATGCGCTCTACGTAGTCCTGGCTGCCAAATCCCCATGGCGCAGCTCGCGCAAGCTTTTGTTGAATCGCTGGATCTGTGATCCTCTTCCCAAAGTTGTTGAAATTTCCTGGAGTGCATGGTGAAACGGCAGCAAACCAGGTCGACATGCTGGCACACTCGTTCGCCCATTCTTCTTCTGCATCACGCGATGGCTCAATTGCGAACACATCAGTTTTCGTTGCTTTGCGCGCTGATTGCACGTAGTATGCCACGAGTCTTGCATGATTGTCCAAAAGGTAAGATGCATTGCCTGTCCTTATTCAGCATCCTATAACATTGCAAAATTGGTTGAACTTACAAGCAACGCCACTCTGGGAGAGTGCACTGAAGAAAAAGTTGGGAAAGTCGTGTGTGCAACATCCGTGAAAAGTGACTGGTCCTTTTTCATCCCATTTGTCGTTCATGTTAAGCCCGTTTCGCCCGAACACTTCCATGTTGCAATTCCGTGATGGTGTGTGTGCACCATCTGTAGCCCTGGCTCGAAAACCAGTGCTCAGTACAAGCAAATCAACCTCATGCTCAATACCATTAACAATTACGCCATGCTCTGTAATACTCTCCACACCAAATCCTGATGTCTCAATCAGCTCGACATTCGGTCGATTAAAGGATTGCAGGTACTCGTCGTGAAAAGTTGGCCGTTTGCAGTAGGTTGGATACCATGATTTCAGTTTCTCTGCCGTTGTTTTATCGTGAACGATATCATCGACACGTTCTCTTAATCTTTGTGCTCTTGGAAAGTCAATAGCATTAAGCTCAGCAATATGGGTTTCGACTGCTTCTGGATGGATTTTCCCTTTGCGAGCCGACCCTATTATTATTATTATTATTATTATTNATGGTTTCGAGGAGAGAAGGAATCGAACCTTCGAGCTCTGCTGACGTGAGACAGCAGAGGCTTTCCAGGCGCTTCACCACTGCGCCATCCCCCCGCGAGCCGACCCTATCACCGCGCTAAAACTTGGCATTTGGCACCAACCATCGCGGACCAGATCCACTTGAAGCGGCTCACCTCTTAGGAAGTGGTTAAAGTTATGGTTTCTTTCTCTTTGCCACCCCTTCTGAGCTGTAATTTGTTTCCATTCGTCGAGGTCAGTCTTCCGCTGGCCACGAACATCGCACGATGTCGGAGTGCGCTGGAACACGAGGAGATGCTTGGACCACTTTGCAAGTTCTGGCACAATTTGAACAGCTGTAGACCCTGTACCAATAATTCCAACTCTTTTGTCTCTCAACTTCTCCATCTCCTGCTCTGTAGGTGTACCGCCCGTGAGGTCATACCTCCATCTGGCCGAGTGAAATAGTGGGATTTTTGTGGTACTCAAGCCTTCAATATTCGGCACACGTGGCACGTTCAGCAGACCACCCGTAGTGATGACGAATCGAGAATTTACCCTCAATGATCGACCTGATTGTGTAGGGCCTCTGTTCTCATAAATCTGGGATGTCCAATAGCGTGCTTCATCGTTCCATCTCATCTCAGTCACACGAGATCGGAACAATGCTTTGTCCTGTAGATCAAAGTGACTTGCTAGCCGGTTGGCATGTTCCAGTAGCTCTGGACCATATGCATACTTGTGCTGTGGCATGTATCCTGTCTCCTCTAGGAGCGGCATATACATGTAGCTTTCTACATCGCACATAAGTCCAGGATATCTGTTCCAGTACCAAGTTCCCCCAAAGCCACCTGCGTTATCTACGATTCGAATGCCTTCAGCCGACATGCCAGCCTGAACCAGTCGTGCAGCAAACAGAAGACCACCGTATCCAGCTCCTAAGATGAGTACATCGTAAAAATCACCGTCGCGAACGGGAGAAGTAGAATTATTGAGTGCATCATGATCAACCCAGATGTCCTTGTTCAGATCGGACAGGTTCTCCGCCGTGTTCAGATTAAGGAATTGTTCCGCGGCATCAGGCCTGATTCTTTTTTCGCGTTCAGTTTGGTAACGATTTTCGATGGTGGGATCGGGGATGATTTGGGATCGCATTGTTCCACTCGTCATAGCGATTTAGATTTAGAATCAAGTACTTGTTGTCAAAAAGGTTGAGAGGATGCAGTTCAGTGAATCAAAAACAGTGCTATTTGTATGCTTCGATATATGACGAGTCATGCTTCGCCTCGGGTCGGACACGACTGAGTTCCGTTTGTTGTCTTGGAACCACGTACGGAGGTGCATCTCAAAAGTTTTCTCTGACGCTACGTAGTCTCGGCGCTTCGGCATACTTAACGTGCGCCACTAGTAAGCTGCACCAATGCTCACTAAGTCAATACTACGTGACAAACGGTCAGGCTACGCCTACCTACCAAAAAGGGAAGCACGAGAGTAATCTAAATTGATTATTCTAGTGCAATTTAATACTTATAGGCATGTAACTCTGTAACAGTTAATGACATGTAAGACAGCATTGCACTGAATACATCGTGACCAAGACGGACCCCGCGCCTCTCCCCAACCAGCTAGACAAGAGCAATAAAACTCAAGCTTGAACAACTGTACACCGGCAAAATAGTGCGAAGCACATACTGATAGACACAACGAAACACTACCCACATGCTCCCTAGACGATGTCGGCATCGGAACGGAAACAAAGCCTCCCGTGATTAGAGGCGAAACTTAGCCATATGCTGTTTAGGCCATGTCGCCGCCGGAACGGAAACAGAGTTCCCCGTGATCGGCATCGAACCTGTCACACCGCCAAACATAAATTCATCTGCCTTAATAGCCCCCTGAAAAATAATTAGCACCATATTTCTATTTAGTATGGAACGTGTTAACAGATTTTTGTATCCCTTGATGTTTGCCAATGGCTATTTGAATTCAACATTGCCATCTGTACCAGAGTTCGATGATTTGCCATCTTGTGCAGGTTTGCCGCAAGGTTGCGCATGGGGGGTTTTTGAGAAGTCTGAGGTGAAAGACATATATGGCACTTTGAATTTTCTTACACAAGATGTTATACTCAGTGCAAAACAAGAGATTACGGAAGGCATCTCCATTTCTTTAAAGTGAGTAAGCTCTGCGGATTTGCAGATACAATCTAATACTTGTGTAGCTGGAATTTAGACGGAATCAAGGCCCCACTTCCATACCGAAAAGATATGGGTAATACATTCATAAGTTTGAAAGACGCTGGTCTTTGTTCATTCGGTTGGGATCAGGAAATTAGCTTCAATACTCAGATTAGCAGTCACTGGGACAGCTATTGTCATTACCCACATCAGGGAACTGGTATCGCATACAATGGCGTTTCATGTACACGGGAACAACTTGAGGGTACTGTAACGAATTCTACAAGACTTCCGACTCTCGACCAGTGGCAATTTAGGGGGGGGGTTGTTGGCCGTGGAGTTCTGCTTGACTACGCCAGATACGTGGAGTCCAAAGGTATTCAAATATCCCCGTTCAAATACCACAGTATCACAGCACAGGTACTTGAAGAAGTTGCAAACTTCCAAGGTACAGAATTTCGTGCTGGAGATATACTTGTTGTAAGGACCGGATATATCGGTGCGCTCTCCAAACAGAACGCAACGGAACAAATTAATGCCGTAATGAGTATGGAATATATAGGACTAGAACCGAGTCGCAATATGGCTCGTTGGATCTGGAATCATCAATTTGCTGCAGTTGCTGCTGACAACCCAGCTGTAGAGGCGCTGGGTGCAAATAGTACTTCCAGTAACTCAGAATTTCCAGGCTTACGTGAGTACAAACCTAAGACATATTCCTCCTTTCACTAACAGTATCAACAAGCACTCCATCACTGGTTCTTAACTATGTTTGGAATGCCTATTGGAGAGTTGTGGGATCTCGACAAGCTGTCGGAACATTGCCATAAATCCGGAAAATATTCCTTCTTCCTAACTTCAATTCCTCTCAATGTTCCAAGCATGATTGCTGGTCCTCCAAACGCATTAGCTATACTGTGAATAGCATATTTCAAATGGATACTTGTGGTCAGCCCTAGTAGAGCTTCAACCTAGTTTTCACGCTTTTTCCCTCAAAAGCACACAGATGCCAAGAATTCTATTGTCAATCTCATCTGCTTGAATATGACTGGCGGGCTTCTAATCTTGCAACGAAAAATTCAATCTAACTGTAAATGGCTAATACTAACTTCCATTACAATCTGCCGGCATTCTATGTCACAACAAGTAGCTTATCTCTACAACGCTACATGGCACAAGTTGTGTGTGTGTGGAGGCGCGCTGAAATGAAGATCAGGCTCTTCTTCGGATAACAAAACCACATTTATTACAGAGATATCTGAATAATCATAACTCTATCGCTTGACTTTTTTCCCTCTGTTTGCTATATAGCGAGTACTCTTTATAGTATAGGGCTTACTCTTTACCCT